TAGAGAGTACTTAACCAGATTCCTTGATGAAACCCTGTTAATCCCCCTAACATTCCATGATAATATATTTACTTTCATTTGAGAAGTAGTGGCTGGACTCTCCCTCTGTTTCTTACGCCTTCAACTTTCTCTTTCAGATCCGACTTCAAATTCTTCAGCTCATACTTGCCAATTCCTCTACGTCGAGAAGCTACTGCTTCACTATTTTCCCCATTCTTTTCCATCCCCCTATTTCTTTCATCAAGCTTCATCAGTAGCGAATGTGTTTCTCCCCTAAAGCCTTCAAACGCCACTCCGTAAGTTCTGATGAGTTCCAAAATATGTGACTTATCCAATTGGATGCTTTGACCTCTGCATCTGTCTGGTCACCAGTTTTTTGTATAAATACCGGCTCAGCATCGTGAACCGGCTGGATTTGCAAGCCTTCTGCTGGCGATTTTTATACTCCTGAATTCTCCCCATCCTCCTTAGTTTGGTCGATCTCCTTTGCTTTGTTTCGATTTGGTTCAACAACCTCTTTCATCTGATTAATCGACTCTCCGTAATTAAGATTTGCAGAGCTAATGATGTTCTCCACCGTATTCGTTTCTTCCATTTTGTTGTATGCATGTAGGAACTGATACGCTAGTTCCTTGATGTTCTTTAACCCTTCGAGAAAACTCCCCTGCGTATCACATATTATGTCCAACTTTTTATTTAAAAGACCCCCTTTATTGGTTTGCTCTGGCCCAAGCCTTTTGAGTTGGGTTTTGTTTTGACTTGGGCTCGCCCCAGCCCATTCCTTTATTTATTTTCAAAATCTGCCCATGCTCTTCGGCCAAAACACGTGATTCGCCTACTATGTTTGTTGCTTTTTGACTTTGCAGAAGGTTCTCGTCTTTACCCAGTCCGCCTTGTATCCGGTGGGTAATGACTTCAGAATTCCGATCTTCTCCGGCGAACACCCTTGAAGGCGATTCGGTCCAGATTTGCATCGTATAACATATTTCACCCCATAAATAGTCACCTCTTTGGGTATGTTTGCTCCATCTCTTTTGATTCTGATTCTTGCCCACTTTAGATGATTTCTCAATCGGGTTTCCTCTTCTGTCTCTACCCACCCTCCGCAAAAATCTCTGATAGCCTTGAAAATTTTCTGGTCCCAATATTGCAAAGGTAACCCTAAAATTCTTACCCAGGTCGAGCTTTATGTACCCCTCTCGCTTTTCGTACCTATTGTCGGATTCCACCATTGGAGGGTATCTGGCTTATTTCTCCACTCCTAGTCTCTTTCGATCACTTGCTCTGCTGTAACCCTAAGTGCAAACTCAATTAAGAAGAGCCCATTGCCCATTTCATAAATGTTCAGACTGTGTGTCTGTTTCCATAGTCGCTTGGCCCATCCCCTGACTTCTGCAAGAGTCGTTTCTCCGACTCTAGGTTCAAAGGCACCCACCAAACTCCTCTTTAGCACTTCACTGTGCTCCTCTGGACCATCTTTAACAAAGATTCTATCTCCCTGCAGGTATACCTTCTCCTTTTCAGCAGCTTTTGACCCTTTGTTAGCCCATTTAATGCTTCTTAGAACTGTAGCGTATGGAATGTCCCTGTTCACTAGCCTATGAGTCCCCAAGCTCATTGACTTTTTGTGACTATTAATGAATCTCCCCACCTTTTCTGCAATGCTCAACCACCCTGAATTGAATGCTAGTTCAGGTATGATAATTACTCCCCTCCTCCTGCCTCTCACATTTATTAGAGTGATGTAGCTACCGTATTTATTGTAGTTCCTAGAGCAAAAAACTTCTGAGAAACTGTCTTTCTTCTTCCATCTCTTCACCATGTTCCCCCTTTGTAGTGATGCCTCCCGCCATGTTTGCACGATCCATTCCCTTGTCTTCTCATTGAAAGTTGTTCTCGTAACGAATTTCCTATTCCTCTCAGTCCAATCATACCAAGCTCTTATCGTGCCAAGTGTTCTTGAGATGTCGTAGGCTTTGAATCCAACTGCAAAATAAATAATGTCTTCCATCGATTGCAAAGGGGGGGGGGAGAAATAAGCCAGTTACCCTCCTGGTTAGGACATTCCTCAATTTTTGTGTCTGGGAGCTTTTTTCACTTTTTCAAGAAGTCACTCAAACCCTTTTGATTACTGCTTTTTCTTCTATTTTGCTGCCTTGCCAAAGAAAATCTCTTCTTAATCAATCAATTCTTTTTTTGACCTCTTCGGATAATGGAAAGATAAACATTATGTACGTAGGAAGAGCATCTAAAACTGAATTAATGAGAGTCAATCTCCCACCTAGGGAAGATATTGAGATTTCCACCTTGACAATTTTGTCACACCTTCCTACAACATCATTCCAAATTTCTACAAAAATAATTTTTAGCCCCCAATGGCATCCCCAAATAAACTGGAGGAAGAGCTCCCACCTGACAACCAAGGTTACCTGCTAGAGATAGCAAATTTGGAATGTCATTAACTGGATAAAGCAAGCTTTTTTGCCAGTTAATATGTAAACTTGACAGCTTCAAAAATGGTTAGGATGGCTCTGAGATGTCTGTTTTGATCACATCAGCTTCACAGAATACTAGAGAGTCATCGGCATACAACAACTGAGATATTTCCATTCCTTCAATGGCATTTGGTTGAGATCCAAAGCCTTTGATCAAACCATTCAACTGTGCAACCTTGATCATATCATATGACTAAGTCCTTCCATGACTATCAAGAATAGAAAAGGTGGCAACCCCTTTAAGATTGAAAAGAACTCTCAGGTCCACCAAAAATCAATACTGAGAATTTGACATTAGAAATGCAAAACCATTTATTAATACTGAGACCTTGCATTTCTAATGGAAATTGGTATGTTTATTTTTTATTTTGAATTTGTACGTGTATTTATAGGATGATCAGCGGTAATTTGTGGACACCTTATTCAATGAGAAGACATTTCAAATACTCTTTAAGAAAAACTAGGAAGTAAGACTTCCAAAAACATAAGTTACCTTCCAAATGACATGTTAATATCATTCTCAACAGGGGCATGAATCATTGACTGTAGCTGCAGAATTACAGTAGACAGCAGCATTGTCTGGCCATCCGGATTTCGCTGCACCGATCACACAAAACATGCTTTTAAAGATGGTATATTCCAAGAAAGCATAACACACAACTAGAAACCTAACAAAGGAGATAGTAAAGGAAGCTCTGTTAAACGATATCTAAAATCACTCTGAAAGCATAACATACAACTGCTTGAAATATCTAACCATTACAGTTAAGATGCCAACCTGACAAAAGTTCTTAAAAAGATAGTCAGCTGCCATGAATTCTTGCTTACTAGAAGTGCGCAAAACCATCTGGAAGACAGATTTCAAAGCAGGCTCTAAATCTGGTTCCTCTCCGAACCTTTTGCTTGCAAGTTCTTTGAGATTCTTGGGGTGATCCGCTATCAAATCACCAATGCAATGAAGTGCCTGACATCGACAAAAGCCGCTTTAAAGATAAAGGTACAAGAATCAACTAGCTTTATTAGCATCTATACTGACCAATGTTTACTACATTATAATGTAAATGGAATTCAAAGTAGAGAAGCCGTAGTAACTGGCATATCTCCTCACCCCCTAATACTCTCTTTTCTTTTATTTTGCCTACCCAACTATTAAGGATGCAGAAAGAAACCAAGAAAGTTGATTAATAGAAAACAAAATCATCTACTTGAAGGCATCAAGAACTAGTTAACTCACCGTACACCGCACTGCAACTGGAGCACATTGACTCTCAACACCTAACATGAAGAGATAGTCCAAGACCTTTTCCTAAAATATCAATCAGATAATTAGGTAAGTAACGCAATAATCCAAAACATAAGCAGTTCTCACATTGGTAGAAAGAACAAACCTGAACCAAGACTGTTTTATTAGTCAGCTTATCTGAATCTCGGGTAGGATCCGTTTCTGGGGCGCCCGTGATAAGCAAATTAATGATTTCTAGAACACAAAGTACAATTGTTGTCTACTGGCATTTAAGGCAAAGAAATGAGAAAAGACCAGTAAGGCTTAGCTACATAAGAAAGTCATATCAGCAGCACATTATATTTACATACATACATACATACATATATATATATATATATATATATATATATATATATATAATGAAACAGCAAAACAAATGGATTATGTGTTTAACCATATCTGATGAAAAACTGTAGGTCGCCTTTCTCAGCTTCAGAACTGATAGCAACTTATCAAAGCCGATTGCCTCTCTTAGTGCTGCCTACAATAGGCTCAGAGTAAGTACTAGGAAAATTAAAATTATATGAGTAATGAACAATAAGAGGCACCCAAGCAGCAACCTGATTCGATGCACTACAATGGAGGAGATTGCTCAGCAGTATAAGACAGTCCTGAAGAATTCCCAAAGTAAAAGCGACAAAAGATTTCAGATAAATGTTCAATAACAATGCAGTGATCAGAAATAATCTACTTTGATATGCTTTTCCTTGAGCTGAGGGTCTATTAGAAACAACCTCTCTACCTCCCAAGGTAGGGGAAAGGTCTGGGCATTACTGTGTATGTTGTTGTTGTTGCTGTTGTACTATCCGTATATACCACATTTTCTACGAACCCAGATGTAAGTGCACTTGTAAACATGTATAGGGAATTTCTAGAAACCATAAATTAGAAATATTTACAATAAGGAATGATGGTGATTGAATGCCAGAAATAGGTAAGAACAAGACGGAAGTTCTGCTCTGAAAATCAATGGAAAAGGTAAAAAGGCAAGATAATGACAGACTACAGAAGTTCATAACCTTTGAAAAAATTCCAGAATGATTTAGCCAGTAATAAGAGTTGCTTAGTTACAAAGTATTTATACCAAAATCAGCATGAATTTAAGTGAAGAACCCAAAATATTTCAATGACAGTTGTAGTGAATTGAGCACCTGATGACTGAAAAATCATTTTTACGACTCCCTCCAGAAAATTCGCTGGATTGTTTTGTTAACGGAAGAGATGGGAATGCAACATCAGAGTCATCTAAGTTTTCCAATCTCACTACTGTTCTACAAAATATATTTTAGACTTAAGCTTAAGAGCACACTTGTCCAAACCTGCACAACAACTCCTCCTTCTAAACCTCCCTCATCTTCTATAATGCTGAATATCTTTACAAAAGCACCTTCAAAGGCTAGAAGTTCTTGAATTTCCTGAAAATTTTAAAGGAGTTGAGCCAAAATCTAAGCAGGAAGTATGTAAAATTTGAAGATTAACACAGAAAGAGGCAGCCCCCAAGGAAAGGAAGGAGCACTCACTTCAGCCTCACAGTTCAAGAAAGTCAGAAATGTCATTGCCTCATTTCGTAAGAGCTTCAAGACATGCAAAAATTAGAATCCCATGAAAACCAAGAGCATAGTAATTTTATCATTTCTAGTTCATACCTTACAATCGTCGTTAAGAAAATTCAGAAGCTGTTTGATACCACTGGGAATGCTACATATAACTTCCAGTAACCTGAATATTATTTAAGCATGTTGTCTCCTCAAAATGTGTTTAAAAAGAATACTTGAAACAATATGTAGTGGAAGTATAAACATACTTTTGTGGAGATTTATTTAGGGGGGGCATCAAAAGTTGAAGCGTAGCGTATCGTACATGGATATCCTCATGTGACTGCCAGAGTAATTAGTCAACCAATTGCAAGGAGATTACTAACCATACATCTAAAACAAGCAAGAATAATAGCAATAACATGCTTACCAACAAACTTAAGAGAATAGAAATATTCTCTTTTTCGCTTAAGAGCAAGTTACTATTTATCAAATTCGGCGGAACCTCATCTGAAGGCCCTTTTGCATAATTTGTTGGAGTTACAGCCATCAAAAGAGTTTCCAGAGCATTCCGGACCTTCAAGCACCCAATATGAGTAACTTTTAGTACTAGGTAAGACGAGGAAGGTAATAATGTTTCATAAAATGTACATCAACTGACAAAAAGGTAAGATTTTATCATTTGCCACCAATGGAGAAAAAGGACCACACAGTTTGATCAATGACACAAATACAGTCCACAGCAATAACGAAAAGATCTCAATGGAATTAGGAATTTGAAAATTATGTTAACTGTACTTCTCTAATTGGCTGTTCGACTTGGAAACTGATATGGAAAGTCAAAAATAACATATACAGTTGATTGCTTTACAAGGCTGTTCGCAAAAGAGGCAGTCTTTCACTAAGTCCCTCACCGGTCCTCATATTAATTATATTTGTAACAAGCTCGATGCATATAACTTGTATGTACCAGCTTAAGAGAGTGTTGGAATAGGAATAATATATCGAATCCTACTTGAAAAAGGATTGTAATGTAGTGTCTATAAATAGGGTCTTGGTGTCATAATGGAGATAAACAATTCAATAATATGATATTTTTTATAATTCTCACATCTTCCTTGTAAAACCATTAAAGAGACATGTGTCCACAAGAAATCATCACCAGCAGAGTAGGTAATGAAATTTAGTGACCGATGATAACATTAGTCTATCACAGAAATCGTATTGATTTCACTCAGACCATCAATATGTTAACTCGAGTCAAAATTAAAGCGATCATTGGTACCACAAAAGCAATAGCACTGTACCAGACATCATAAAAAGACAAGAAGTTTCTACAAAATATAGCTTGAACTTTCATCCCAATAATACACAGAATGCAGAAGATCGACTAAAATAACTTTTTTTTAAGAAAAGCCCCACTAAAATAACATTAACATATCTTAGTTCTAAAATTGACAACAAAGCAATTGTACCATCTGAACATCATTGGGCTTCTCCTTTAAGATGCTCAATATCACATGGAATCCTGCAAGAAATAAAATGATTAAATGAACACCATTATATGATGGCGAAGAAAAAATGGAACGAAATTCGCATGCAGATAACAAGATATATATATATATATATACATACACACACATACATACTAACCCGTTTCTCCAAAGGCCATTTGTCCAGTACTACTCCAGACAGCAAACACAAGTTCAACTATAGCAGTTTTCTTCTCCTCAACCAGCAAAGTCTTGCTAATCTGGTCAAGCAAACGTTTGACATGCCTATTGGTAAAGAAAGCAATATTAATTAAGCATGCTAGACAAGTTGGACTAAACTGCGACATAGAAATTTTGTTGTCCTAACTAAAAAAAAAGCAAATAGCAGCACAGGATAATCAGCTGGACAATCTAAGGGAAAAAAATTATTTCCAGAATCACAGTGTCTTAAACATTTCTCAATTCTAGCAAGAAGACCTTTCTTCAACCCATACTGGAAACAGAACTGCATACAATCTCTATTTAACCATCTAGAAATATGATTAGAAAAAGTATTTTCCTGAATTCAAAGTGAATAAATACAGACCAGAATCTATTTTCCTCCCAGGAAGTGGATCATTTATGTCATTATCTTTTCTTTGTAAGGTTATTTATTTTGAAAGGGTTTTCTTGATAACCGGAAAATCCTTCAAGATGAGTGGCAACTTCTTGAAACTTGAACAATAATGGGTCCATCCCTCTACCTTTCTTCACTTATATACCAAGCATCCGTCAGAGAGTTTTTTACCACTAAACCAAAGTCCTGGAGGTTTATTTTTATTATTATTTTCTATTGAGAGGGGGGAGGGGAAGAGATGGGATCCCCATAAAATCATCAACACTTCCTGAATAGAACTTCTACAACATGTTGAGTCATCAATTAAGGGAATAGTGCTGCTCCAAGCCCAAGGGTTCTCTTAGTTGTCATATACATCCAAAACCAAAGGTCTAAGAACAAACCCGGCTTCAAAATTCAAATACACCTTGGGACTGAATATGCCCTATGTACATATACATGTTGTTTCTCAGGTATGAGTTCTCGTTTTCTTTAAAAGTTATAGGCAATCTTCGTCTTATGAGCTAGTTTTTAAGATCGCGTTGGATGTATGGTAAACTTCCTTCACATGGTATCAAAGCAAGACCTAGCCATGTTATTGTGTTTCCCAATGTTGGACCCCAAAAGTAGATTATCCATCTTTAGTTAGGTAACCCTAGGCGTGCCTGAGGGTGTTCGAGACTCACATTGGTTAAGGGTATGGGTTTTTATCTCCTTATATGACTTATGGCAATTCTCAACTCATGAGCAAGTTTTATAGGTTAAGATAGGTCAAAAGGTCCGTATCTTTGACATGTATGTGTGTATATACACAATTACGCCTTAGTACCAAAAAAGTTGGGATCGGCTACATGAATCCGCATTTCTTCATTTAAGCTCATATCATATCATCATCATAATGGATAATATAAAACTAAAAATATATGTTAAAAATATATATAATGTATATAAGTAATAATAAGAAAAGTTCAACACGAGTCAAAAACCTATCCACAACTAGTAGTTATTACCAATATGGATTTTTTTTTCATATTGTACCGTATCTTTAGACAAGTCTATATTCATACTGAGCATTTCAGGTCTTTGGAGACTACTTCCTTCCATGTAATTTTAGTCTACCTATCCCAATTTAACACATTCACTTATCACAAGTCTTAAACCTATGGACTGGTACATCTATACGTCCACGGAGAACATGCTCTCAAGCGACCTCACATCTTATCCTCAACATGTGCTACTTGCACCTTTCTGCGAATGAAGTCATTTCTAATTTTTCATAATCAAACATCAATCTAGGCATCCGCAACACAATCTTGTGGATATGCTTAACAACCCAACATTCCTACTACCATATAATATAGTCGATCTCTTCTTTTTTTTTATAATGGTAACTCTAATATAGTCAATCTTATAACTGCATTATAGAACTTACCTTTCACTTTGGTAGGTATCATTCAATCACATAACACTCCAATTGTGTTCTATATTCTAGACATCCAATTTTAATCCTATGAGTAACATCTTCATATATGATTAATTTTCTCAAAATGACGAGCCTAGATATCTAAATTATTGTATTTTGGCACAGCAACCCCTTCTAGTTTCACCTCCACTTCCCTTCTCTCGTGATGACTATATCTGCTATGCATGTATTCAGTCTTACTTCTACTTATCTAAAATCGATTGGGAAGTCTCACCAGAAGTCCTTATGGAAGATTAAGGCCCCTACTAAAATCAAATGTTTCACTTGGTTGGTGGTTAGAAGGGCTTGTCTCACTAAAGAAGGGAAGGATACTTGTACCTAGATATTTTTTATGCAATGAAATTGGGTTAACAAATAACCATATGTCAAATTTACTGCTCAGCTATGGCATCCATTCTTTACTCCCACCAAAATAGAGTGGAGAATGCTTGAGCACACATAGGTGATCTGCTGAGCTGTTGGATCAGAAGAGGTGACACCAAAAGCCAGAAGAAGTGGTGGTGGATGATACCCTAAGTTGCTCAGACTCGAGTGCGGGTATCCAAGACGGATGTGAATCCGTGAGTCGGATTCAACAAAATCTAAATTTTAAGATTCGTGGGTGCGAATACAGTATGGATACGAATACCGGGATACGGCTAAATTTTTTTTAATATTATAAAAATAAGGGAAAATACATCAAATTCCCCCTGAACTTGATAGCAGAACTCACTTTAGTACTTTAACTATACGAGTGTTTAAATACCCCCTTAACAATTCTGAACTAATTAAATACCACCCTAAGAGCTGACGTGGCAAAGTGAGTACTCACTTTCCTCAAAATGCGTGAAATAAAAAAAAACTAAAGGTAAAAAAAATCATACACATGGCACTTTTTTATTGGCCATTATCTAACTAATACATTTTAATTTTTTTTACAAGTTAAAGTTAAAAGAAAATGAAATTTCTTGTTTAGAAGTAAATGAAATTTGTGGGTTTAATTTTTTTTGTTCTCTTTATTTTGGTGTCTTCCCAAATGTCTTTTTCCCCATTGAAGCACTCTTATACCTTTCTTTTTTCATATTAAATTTTTTCCTTTATCTTCATCTTCATCCCTCGCCTCATCCGTCTTTCATTAATCATGAAAATTCAACACCCAATTCATATTATTGAATGCAAACATTCTTGATTTCTAAGTAACCTATTTTGAATTATATTAGTTGTGATGCAAAAAAATGTGGGTCTATCAAATTTTTTACACAATCTTCATTTTTCATTTAAGTTGTTAAGAAAAAATAATTTTAAAAAAAATATGATTCTTCAATGGAAAAATTTGTCGGGGAGAAACGGTTCCAAGAAGAAAAAGTAAGTATTTGATGAATGTTGAATAAGAAAACAACCATTGAAGGTTGAAAATTCGGGGAATAAAAAGCTAGTGAAGGTTGAAAATGGTGAAAATCAAGAAAGAAAGAAAGAGGGGGGTTGAAGAAGATGTGGCAATTTGATTTTAAAATGTATTTTTATTTAATTGATTAGTGTAATGAATTTAAGAAACAAAAAAGGTGAATATGTAAAAAAAAATAAAAATTACGTGGTGCTTGCATGGCTGTGACGTGGTGCATACATGGATATGATGTGGCAGGTGAGAGTGGTATTCTACTCTCAGTGTTGTATTTAATATAGTTAAAAGATGTTACGGGGATATTTAAACGCACGTGTAGTTAAAGTACTAAAGTAAGTTTTGCTACCAATTTCAGGGGGGATATGATGTATTTTCCCTAAAACTAAAGTTATGTACATATATATACATACACACTAAACAACTGCATAATTATAATGTATTTCATAAAAAAGTACACTTATTTCAAGAAATCCTTTGTTTCTGCCACTTAGAGTTCTTTATCAAGAAACACTGAAAAAACCCTAACTTTTCCCTCCTTTACTTTTTCAAGAAAAGCTTTCTTTTTTTCTCTTCTTCATATTTTTCAAGCCGGAAACTTATTTTCTCTTCTTTCATCTCTTCTTTGTACTTTTTCAAGCTTTACCCTCTTTATGTCACCAAAAAACTAATTCTCTACTTTCTTCTGTACTTTTTCAAGCTTCGTCCTCTTAACGTCGCCGAAAACTGATTTTTTCTTACCCAAATCTTTTCTCAGCTTCGGTCGAAGTGTACAGATCGGATTGACCGAATTCGACACACACCTCGCACTCGCACCGGCACACGCACCCGCGCCAATTTCGCGTCGAGAGGGTTTTCCTGCAAATATGAAGAGTCTACGCAACATAGATGATACCTTTAGTACATTTGGTGGACAGTGTGAAAGAAAAGAAATTGGAGATGCTTTGAAGACAAGGTTTCATTCACGATGTAAAATGGAGTTGTCTAGTCACATTATTTTTGGTGTAACGAGATATGTATAGAGGAAATGGATGATTTTGTCGTTTTCTTAGAAGCTTTGTAAATCTAGGCTCTATTTTCTCTTCTTGTAAAAAGTTTTTGAAGGTGACCAGCATCCCTTAATGCTGACGAATACAATAGTACTTCTGTAAAAAAAAAAATAAGGTGTTTCGCGAATGGAAGCCTAATCACATCGTAGGATGTAAATTAACAGGTTTAATAGGCAAATTGAAAAAGTGGAATAACATGAACTTTGGAAGTCAAAAGAATGCAAAAGAAAAGAAATGCTCCCAAGCACTTTTTTTGAAGCTCCCTTAGGGGCTGACTAGGAAAGTGTTTCTCAGATTCCGGCAGACCTTCGCCGAAAATCTTTCTTTCCTTCCCTTCTCTGGCAGAACTTCGCCGAAAATCTTTCTTTCCTTCCCTTCTATACTCTCCTCTCCCCTCCCCTTCATTCTTACTTCTCTTTCCTTTCCTTCTCACTATCTTCTCTCTCTGATCCTTTTTTAATTTCCACTCTTGTTATTGTTATGGAGAATAGACTATATTTCAGGTCCCTGGGGAAGTCTTATGATATCACGAAATCAAGAACCATTTCAGACACTTGGTTCGATTGGGTAGAGGGTTTGAAAATATCGATCAAAAGAAAGGTGGCATGCAGAAATGTATCGAAAGAACATTTACAGTGATGATAGAAATGTACTATAAAGTGGAGAACTTTATAAATAGGAAAACAGAAAATCAAAGAACATTTATTACATCTGGGGATATGATGCAAAATAACCTCAATGGTAGGGTAAGTTACAAAGAAGCTCTACAAGAAAGTAAATGGTCTAGGAAGAATATCGAAAAGCCACGACAACTATCTTCAAGTTGGGAAGACAACGAGCAGCTGCGTAGGTGTCTTGTTGGCAGATTCATCTAAGGATAGGAGACTCCCACTCGAAATGAAATCAGGATTTGGGTGCAACAAATCTGGAAAGGTGCTCCTAACACCTTAGTTTTTTATTTGAATGGCTTCGAATTTCTCTTTGAATCCAAACCAAGAAGGCTGCGGAGCATGTTATCATGGGGGATTGGAGACGACAAGGAGCCAATCTGTAATTAGATTAGCGGTCTCCAACAAAAGGTGCTTTCCATGAAAGTACAAGATTCGATTGTTTTGGATTAGGGCTCTTGGTCTCCCTCTTCACCTCTGCATAAAGATTTCATGAAGGAGATAGGAGATGCCTGTGCAGGATGGTTGGAAAACAAGGAAGAAACAAAGCTAAAAAACCATCTGAGATGGGTGAGAATTCGAGTTCAAGGACCCAAGGAAATTTTTCGTCCGACGAAGGTCGAGTTGTCAGATGGCAAGCTGATTTTCGCTTTACCAATCTGGTGTGAATATTTGGCGACATTCAAACCGGTGATGGAGTCGGAAATAGATTATCGAGGTGACAACAAGAAGTCAAAGGAGAAAGTAGAGGCTAGCAATGTCTCTGATGATGACAGACTTAGTGAACATGGGAAAGAGTAAAAAAAGTATAGGCCAATTATCTCTGATGATAGCAGACCTAGTAGATAAGGGAAAGGAAAGGAGAAAGTACAGGAGATGTATGTTAAAACCAATGGTTACAAGAATGAGGCAAAGTCTTTTCAAACTTCCCATAAAGAAAGTAAAGAGGGGTCCCACTTGGAGCTGTTGAATGGAAGGCCTATTTTAGGTGGGTCTGCTGTCTGGATAAATGAAAAGGAGACTCAAATACTTTGAGCCTTAAAAGCCCAAACATTTAACTGAGCCTTTTGTTGATTTTCAACCTTTTTTGGTTCTTATTCTTTCAATTCCCTTGACCATTTCACCATAGTTGGTGACATATTTTTACGCATGCCAGAGGACTCGATGCAGATCGCGAACTTTTCTAGCAATGAAAAGGTAGGGGGTAAGGAGATACACAACATGGAGGTGGAAAGTTTTGATGGTGATGAGTTGGTGGAATTGTCGGGAGAGCAGATGAAGTTTTTTCACGAACCTCGACCCTTAGCAATTTATGACAGTATATCTAAGGAGGGTTTTGAGTCCCAAGCAACGCTGAGATTTCACATAAATTTAGTCAAATTAAGCCAAATATTTGGGGTGTGTACAGAGGGATATGAAAGAGAATTCTTCTCATTAGTAAGTTGAATGGGGCAAAAACCCACAATGGAGGAACAAAGCAACAGTGACAATAATAGCAACACAGCAAACCAATCACTAAAGAGTTGAGGAATCTCATTTTCAATATGAAATTCAAAGAGGGGGAGCCTAGGAGTAGAGGGAGAAGATTATAATTGTGGAACAATGATGGTAAAAAAAAATTCTTGGAATGTAAGAGGTTAAAGAACGAAGAGACGAGAGATTTAGTCAAAAACCTGATTAATCAATGAGAGGGAGATGTCTATATTCTTTTGGAAACTAAACGAAAAGGACAATTTTAGTAGTTTAATTCACAACATTTGGAACAGAACAACAGATGGTTGAGTGAACTTCATGTAGAGGCACAAGGGTCTAGTGGAGGTATTTTAATCATGTGGGATAAAAGAATATGAAAGGGGGTTCTAGTGGAAACAGGATCACAATGCATTTCTTGTAAATTTTCAAACCAAAATCAAGAATTTTCCTGGTTTTCGACAGCACTTTATGCTAAGTACAAGAAAATAGAGAGGAATTTTTTTTGGGTGAATTGGGTGCTATGAGAAGTCTGTGTGAAGGTCCTTGGGTAATGTGGGGGGGGGGGGGACCTTCAATTTTATTAGATACCCGGCAGAAGGAATCAATTGCTTTTAGATTAACGGTGCTATAACTGACTTTTCTAAACGCATTAAGGAATTGGAATAGTAGACCCCCTTTTTTTTTGGAGGGTCTTACACTTAAAAAGGAGAGGGGAAGGGCACCAAACAACTTCCAGAGTTGATAGATTTCTCTATAGCTCATATTGGGAGGAACAGTTCACTTTTATCAAGCAATCTACAATGTCAACGTTAGGATCTGACCACAACCCAATTCTACTTACATGTGGAAATCTAAATTTCAAGAAGTCCTACTTCAAATTCGAAAATTGGAAGATGAGAGTGGAAGGATTCAAGGAAGAGGTGAAATTTTGGTGGCAGTCTTTTGTAATAACTGGAACCCAGGTTTTCTTTTGGCAGAAAAGCTGAAACCTTTGAAAGGAAAGATGAAGGAATGGAGCAAGAATAATAGAAAAAAATGTAAAGCACAAAAGGAGGAGATTATGGAGGAGTAGGCCAAATAGGAAGTTGTACATGAATAAGGAGTTCTCACAGAGGAGATCCAACAAAAAACAAATTTGGCTTTCACTTATGAGCCAGTAGCTAAGAATAAAGAAACGGAAAAGGGCCTAAAATACCCTCGAAGTATAGGAAATGGTACAAAACTACCCTCCATCCACCTATTGGCTCCAAAATGCCCTTTTGACCCACCTATTGGCTCCAAAATACCCTTGTCATCCACCTTTGGGTTCAAAATCGACCACTTATTTAACGATTTCAAATTTAAACCATTTGAATAATTTCTTAAAATACTTGGCGCTCAACAATTTGATATCATATCATTTATAAACCAACACACTACCCACCCATTACTAATTAAACCTCACCCAATTAATAAATCAATTCTAATATCAAAATCGCCCTAAACACTACTAAAACACGACGAAATTACAAATTCCTGAAAATGACATTCAAAATTATTCGAGTTTGAATTGAAACTCCAATTAAATTTAGGTTGAACCGCTTATTTAGGAAGACACTTTCAATATGATTCTCTTTCAACCTTAAATTCGAATTTTATGATTAAAGATAAAGAAGTAGTACATCCCGAATTAATTCATGCATTTTTTTTTAAATATAATTGGGAAAAGGGTCATAAATAGCCCCCAACTTTAATTTTTTGTTTAATTTACCCTTGCCATTAAAATGAAGTTAATTTTACCCCTCGCGTTACTAATTTCACCAAATTTATCCCTCATTTAACGGATTGACCCAAATGTTTTTTAAAAACCCCTATTCCTTATTTTAACCCAATAACCCAACCCATTTAAAGTAACCCGTCCCCATTCTCCACATCTCTTTTACCCATTTAACAAACATGGTGCTCATCTAACTGTTCAAGAGCACCTAGAAGATGGATCGTAATTAAGGTGGTAGTTCAAATAGTTGAGTTATTTGAGTCTTTAAAGGAGCATCCACAATATCAAAATGAAACTACTACTATTGTCCACATAGTTACTGTAGAGTTTGATGATGATGATGATGAGTTAGAGGAGAATCAACACAACAAAGATATGGTCAATTCTGGTGACTATTTGCAGCAAAATATGCCAAGACAGATCCCACAAGAGACTTGAATCAAGAACATATATGTGGCTAGTTTATAAACTTTGCTTTTTACTGAGTTGCAGGTTATGATTTGTCTTCATTTCTTAGTTGTAGCACTGTATATAAAACTTTTTGGAGAATGTTAGTCATTTTACTTCTTACTTCTTTAGGTCTCTATACGATCCATCTTCTAGGTGCTCCTGAACGGTCAGATGAGCACCATGTTTGTTAAATGGGTAAAGGAGATGTGGAGAATGGGGATGGTTTAATTTAAATGGGTTGGGTTATTGGGTTAAAATAAGGAATGGGATTTTTTTAAAAATATTCGGGTCAATTTGGGTCAATCCGTTAAGTGGAGGGTAAATTTGGTAAAATTAGTAACGGGAGGGGTAAAATTAACTCCATTTAAACGACGAGGATAAATTCAAACAATAAATTAAAGTTGGGGTATTTTTGACCCTTTTCCCAATATAATTTAATAAATATTTATTATTTGTTTTAAA